AGCCTAAATGACAAATGACACCTATTTTATTATTTGAATAAGTATAAAATGAGCAATGACTCTAGATGACTATAGATCATTGTACTGCCTTCAAACTTGTAGGATACATAGATAACCTCATCTGGATCAGACTACAACTCTTACTTTGGGAAAATGTGCTAAACTCTTTTTTTTTTTTTTTTAGATTTTTCATTGTTATCTTAAGTATATAAAAGCCAATAATCACTTATGACTTAGACAGATTTATTTTTCATTTTGTGTACACAAGTGTAAACAAAAGGAAATAGTCATAAATACATAAAAATTGTTAAATAAACATATGACTGTATATTTACATTTATAACATTCTTTTTTTTCTTACTTTGGGAAGATAGGCCAAACTGTATTTTTTGATTTTTTTCATTGTTATTAGAAGCATATAATAGCCAATAATTACACTATAGATCATTGTAGTGCCATCAAACTTGTAGCACACAAAGATAACCTCATCTAGTTCATACTACAACTCTTACTTTGGGAAAATGTGCTAAAATCTATTTTTTTATTTTTTCATTGTTATTACAAGCAGGCCAGGTGTGCAACCTCTGCAACAGGAACCACAGCACTGAGCGTTGTGTGCACTGCACAAAGTATACCTGTCACAAATGCAGGAAGGACTCAACTAGGGTTTGTAGAAACTGCTAAATGGGACAATAGTAGCTTCATATGTAGTGCTTTTCCTTGGGTGGAATAAATGTTACTCCAGTACTGAAATCATACTGTTTGTCATTCTCTAAGCTGAAATGTTGAATGACATGAAAAGGTGAGACAAGACAAAATACAATTATTCATTACGTTTCTTTCACATAGTGAGCTTTGCAATATAAATGAATCTGTTGGTGAATGGATGATATAAATAGGCTCTGCCTTGCCTTGTTGGAAAAGCTGGTTATGACCTGTTCTCAGCTCAGGAACTAGGACCCGTATGATATCTGGTTGTTCAATAGGTTTTCCTAAGTAAAATATTTAGATATGAATTATTAGGATATTCCTGCAAAAAGGTTTGTTTCAGCCTTATCCAGTCTCATGTAGAAGGGCTGGTCATGTCACAGGTTATTTACATTACAACAAGGACAGTTAGCAAGGTAGAGTGAATACACAAACTTGAAGAGGGGAGGGGGGCTTGCAGGAAAACTGGAATTCTCTGGGACATCTAGTGTTAATCAAATTCTAACTAAAGTGGTAGTGTATAGGCCTATTTTAAAAAATAAATGCAAGCATGCATTCTGTAGATTTCCCCATATGCCTGAGAATCAGTCTTAAAATATATCTTTGCTAATGCATAAATAAATAAATTAATAAAGAAAAATCAGTGCCCAAGACATACCCAGGCACCGCAGATCCACAACGGGGCACGTGCCCCTGTGAAAAGGATCTGCCGATGCCAATGCTTAAAGCCTGCTTAGTGTAGCTTGGTTCAATATATTGCATTGTCTTTTTTTAAGCATTGTGGTTAGCAAAATGATTAACAAACAATAATGATTTCTGGCAGAGAACTGGCTATCTGTGCCAGACATCATTATCATCCTGTTGGCTTCATCTTATGTTTATTTCTTTTTTAGACTAAAGCGCTGCAATTTGTCAGAGCTCGGCTGTGGTTTTCTGGCTTCAGCACTTATGTCCAACCCCTCCCATCTGACAGTGCTGGACCTGACCTATAATGATGTGAAAGATGCTGGAGTTAAGAAGCTTTGTTCTTTCCTGAAGACTGACATCTGCAAGCTACAGATATTAAAGTATGACCCTAAATTTCAGTTTTAAATTGGTGTTTCTAGTGTAAAAGTTGTGTTGACTCTCAAATGTTGACATATGGTTGACGTACTGATCCAAACTGAAGATCTCAATGATAAAGATTGACAGGTGCCAAATCCGTCTACATCTCCACAAGGCTGGTCAGAAAGCATGGCACCCCAGACCATTACTAACCACTGACATTTAGAACAAAAACTGCACCTCTCGTCTTGTCCTCTAGACTTATGGACCTGGTATTTCGAAAGGAGATGCTAAATTAACTTCCACCAGAGAACAGAACTTTGACCATTCTGCAGCTGTCCATTCCTTAGTGTCTTTAGCCCAACTTAGGTGTTTCTGATATCATCTCATGTTCAAGAGTGGCTTAATGCAAGCATTGTGACAGTTGTAAGCCATGTGTCTTTCATATGGCTATGCATGGCGGTTGATGCAGTGTCTGCAGTCCACTCTGTGACTTTTTTTTTTACAGCGTCCTGTCTGGCAACGTGACAATAAGAATAATTTTTTTGATGCTAAAAAAGAGACCAAAAGATTTCGCTTTCACAAGTGGAGCAGTAAGGCTATTGCCATAGTATTCTGCTTGATTTATGCATATAAATAGCTTAATTATAATTCATGCAGGGAGTATTACAGAATATATGGACACTGCAATGTAAGCAGAACAGGAAAGGAAAAACTGAAAATAGGGAGTAAAAAAATGAAAGAAAGAGGAGATAAAAGGGAGAAAGTGATCTTCAGTCTGCTTCATCACCTGCAAAGAGATGTAAAAAGAACAGCACAACCAACAAACATAGTATAAGACATACAATAAAGTAACACCTTGATACTATCGCTGAACTAGTATTATTTAATCTGACATGTATACTGTGGAAGCTAAAGATAAGAATATGAGCTTTCTGTATGGAAGTGAATCTCTAAGTACCTGGAACCAAGCACCTGTAGTTGTTTGTGAGAGTGCACTTGTGCAAGTTTATCCAAAGGAAAAATGCTCAATAGTGTTTGTGAAGAGTCAAAGATGTGCCGCTCCAGAGCACTGAGTCCAAAAGGGAAACCAAGAGCAAAGGTGCCCAGGAGGGGCCAACCAAGGAAATCCGACCACCCACCAAGGGAGGAGGAGAGACGGCCCTGAGGAATCCCCCAGCCACCTCAACGCTAGAGCCCACGGGAGCCGCAGGGACAAGTCTGCAGGCTCCGCCTGCAGCCAGCCATGGGCCCCAGGGACCCGAGCCCCCAGGGGCATCCCGCCCCCTGGTCGGGCCCCATGGAGCAGCCAACAGGAATAGGAGAGTACCCGCCCGGGTATCCACCCCGAAACACCGAGCACCACCAGTGCACCGGCGAGCTCAGGCACCATCCAGTGGAGTAAGGGCAGGATGGGGGTAATGGGCTCAGCACTTAGCGGAGACTTGAGATGGTCTTCGGAAGAAGGAGCAGTTCAGACCCCAACCTGAAAAATACAACAAAACAAACAAAAAAAATACAGCCTCAATCACACCTTCCCACCCTAGTGCCCCCACTGCCAACACAGTCTCTGTGAAGAGGAACAAAAAAAAAACATGCAGACGCAGATTCACACATAACACTCACATCCAATAATCCCAGGACTGAGGACTGACGCCCGTGGCCGGTTCCGGGATTAGCAGATGACCCAATAAGGGAACCTAAAATCCGTATTGGGGGAGGGGAGCGGTGTCGTCGCCACACTAATCCATCTAGTTCCTGCTTCGGGCCTCCCACCCGGACCAAACAGCCCCAAGTAAAAGCCCCCCTGGGGACAGGGGCGCCCAAATGTCTTGCACAGGCTAACCAAACAGAGTCTCCTCACCCCTCCTAAATAAGCCAGATAGTTAATACCTTTATTCTTCTAGTATGGAAAGTTTATCATATTATTGTTTTGTAGAATGTCAGGGTTATTCCAGATAGGTGTACAACTCCACGGGATAAGTGATGACTTCGTTATTTTAAGAAATTTCCACCATGCTGTCAGGGAAGAGCTGATATTAATATTTTTAAAACATGAGTGCTGCTTGATATTGGAGCTAATAAACGGCAAATCTGAAATATTACTGCATATTTCCTGTTCTGTGTCTATCCAGGGCTAATCTAAGGGATTATGTTTTATCCATTTAGAGATGTATTGTAATCTATTTGCTAAGTAGTAGTTTTGGAAGTTAGGTAAATCTAGTCCCCCTCTGTCTTTATTTTTCTGTAATGTCTTTAAGCTGATACGAGGGGGTTTATCCTTCCAAAGAAATTTAGAGATGGAAGAATCTAGAGATTTAAACGAGTCGGATGATGGTTTATTGGAGATCATTGAAAATAAGTAGTTAATTCTAGGTAAGACCATCATTTTAATTAAGGCTACCCTACGCATAAGGGAGATTGGATGCGATTTCCATCTTTCTAGGTCCTCTTCTATCATTTTGGTAAATAAGATAATTTATGTGACACAGAAATTCCCAAATATTTGATATTTCTTGATTGCAGTTGTAGGCCTATGAGATTCTGTAGAGAGCAATTAATTGGTAGTAATATACTGTAGATTTAGACTAATTTATAGAGTAATCTGAGACTTTTGAGAAAGATTCTAGTAATCTAATTACTTGAGAGAGTAAAGTAATACATCATCTGGGTAAATACTAATTTTATGCTCTATTATACTCTTTGTGAATCCAACCCACATTCTTGAATCGGTATTGTCTCACAATCATCTCCAGGGTTGGTAATCCCTATTGATTGAACACTTGAACTCCTCTCCTCTACTGATGTGCTTGTACACAGAGCTCTGTGAACAGCTTGTCTCTTTAGGAATGACCCCCCCCCTAACCCTGCCCTCCCTTTGTAAGGTGTCTAGTTGCGAGTCAATAGTCCCGCCAAGTCTTCTCTATGATGTGGCCTAAAGAACTACAGTACATGAGAGACTCTAAAGGCCTTTGCATGTGTTTTTAGTTAATTAGTGTCTGGCACCATGTGTCTTCAGCATTGGACCTTTTCAAAATATTTACATTTTCTGATATTCTAAAGTGTCATTAGATTTCAGTTTTAATATTTAAAATTAGAAGAAATAAACACCTGAAATATATAATTCTGAGTAATGAATGGAAATGATATACATATTTCATATTTGGTATCGAATCGCTCCCAAAATTAAACCCTTACGTGACAGTTTACCCATGTCATAGTAATATATATTGTCTTTGCACTGCCCAAACAATTATTTTAAAAGTATCAACTTCAGCATGTAAATGAGGTAAACGTGCAATGTAATTTTTACCCTTAGATTATATTTAAAAAACACACATTTGTTTTTGTTTTTATTGTAAACATAAAATCTAATTCTATTGCAAAGTGTCTCACTTACCTGCTGAAATCAAGGAAAATACTCTTATTTTAAAAAAGTTACAAACTTGGATTCCTTTTGTTTACGTGTGTTTCACATCCTGAAATTTATAAAACTACAGATATTCTCCATGGCATCATCGCAATTCTGGAATTTCACTGCTTTGGGTGGCTGCACATTAGAGTAGATCTTCTAGCTTGACTCTGATATTCTTTTTGAGAGAACTTTAGTTTCGCTGTTTTTGGATCATAATTTCTTTTTCAGATTTTTTGCCTCTGGTGTTGAAGGCTAAGAAAGGAAAGGTGGAGAAGTGGCAATATTGTTTAATGACTCACTGAAGTGTAAAAAGGTGTTTTTGGGAAAATTTGACTCTTTTGAACATTTGGCTCTGCAGGTAAAAAGCCCGGTACGAACTATGTTTCTAAATGTTTACAGGCCTCGTCAAACTTTTTTAATGATTTTAGTGACCTCCTGCCTGTGTTATGTGTTGATTATGACTTTACCTT